TCTAAATGCTTATTTGCATTATATTGTAGCTCATATATGTTATTAGGTTGCATAACATCAAACCATCAACAAAATCCGGAGACTTAGTATCATAGCTAGAGAAATCATCTCAATAAACCTTGAACATGCAAATTTAATAGCTTAATTGCAATATTGGCAGTGGCTATTTGGCACCAGAGTATGCAATGCGTGGCCACCTCACTAAGAAGGCAGATGTTTTTGGCTTTGGTGTTGTTGCTTTGGAAATCGTCAATGGAAGACCAAACTTTGACAATAGCCAGGACAATGACAAGATCTATCTTCTTGAGCAGATAAAGAAAGAAACTCTATTCTTTTTTCCTTCTTTATAGACTCATTCCTTGTGCATGAGATTTACTAATACAATGTTTCTAGGCATAGACTATGTATGAAAACAACCAATGTCTTGGTCTGGTGGATCCAACCCTAGTTGAGTTCGATGACAATGAAGCTTTAAGAATGATAAGAGTGGGACTCCTGTGCACGCAAGCATCACCAACGATGCGACCACCCATGTCAAGGGTTATAGCTATGCTTGTTGGGGATATCGAAGTGAGCCCTGTTACATCAAAACCAAGTTATTTAATTGACTGGGATTTTGAGGACATAACAGCCAGCATCAAGGCTGAAAACACACCATCAACTAGAGCACAGTGATAACAAGAATAAGAACGATCTTAATCAAGGGATAGAGCTGATGCCTTCTCCATTAAACATTACTGAATTTAGTGACATTATTGTGAAAGGAAGGTGAGAGATGTTTTCCTTAAAAACTCCATTTTGCCACTTCTCTTGCTTGACCTCTGCCACATATTTTCTAGCTCAATAAAATAGATACTGAAATTGTGTGAATTTCTGTCATTCAAACCCTTATATGTTGATCATTTCTCTCTCTGTAAATTAAACGAGATGTCAAAATATTGGCATGCAATAAGGCTGCAGTGTTTGTAATTCATGGATGTCATTCTTATCATGTGGTAATATACTTCAAAGCTCTAGGATTGTTTGTAATTCCATGTAACATAATTATGTCTTTTTTCTAAGGGTTTTCTTTTTCCTCTGTGTTTTAACACACCACCTCTAGCACATGCCACACCACCCACTCCAGCCAAAATATCCACTTCTATATTACCAATAACTTGTTAATTCGAGTGAAAAGAACTCGGTTTCGTTAAATAAAATCTTGAATTCAAGTTTTGTAAATAAAGAATCAGGCGTTGAGAGAGTTTCCCTTTTATGATGTTTGATGTGGTTTGATTTCGGATTAATCAGAATCCAATATGATTATCAGATATCGAAAGGTTAATACCAAAAAATTAGCTTCTATATTTGCAACCGACTCCAAGTCAATCTTAATAGTCGAAATAGCACCCCATGACTCCAATCCACAAAGCCACAACAGCACTTCTGAATCTTTCAACAGTGCCTTCTTCCCAGAGTAAGAATTCAACGCTACAAGAAAGACAATTGCTGCCGCAAACTCAAAAATTCGTTTAGTGTTCATTGCAACATTAGTGAGTCTCATGTTGAGTTCCCTCATAAAGTCAACAACCTACCTCCAAAAAGAGAGCGAGCACCAAACAATGTGCCTCTGATGCTCTTGCTGGAGGTGGTGGTGTAGCACTTGCTGAAGGTGGACTGGTGGAGCTGTGGCTTCCAAGTTCTGTAGCACTATATGGAGCTAAGGGCTGAAGAGAGGAAGCTCAATGATTGCCTCTTACGGATTTTTGAGTTGTGTACAATGTTTTAAGAACGGACCGGTACTTAACCCATTCTGGGTATTGGGTTTGGTTTAATTGGTTAAATCAATTCAACCAATTAATTCAACTGGTTATACAGAAAAATGACATTTTTAAATTTTTAAAAAGTAAGAAGTAAAATTTGATTTTAAAACATATATAATTATGTAAATATTAGATCACTAAATTCAATAGTCTTTATTGCTAGTATTTCAATTTTTTTAATTTTTAATTAAATGTAATAATTAGTGATTTGATAAAAGTTAAATAAAAATTTTAATTTAAATCTTTGAACATCAAATCATTTCTATAAAAAAATAAAAGCAAAAAGGAAGAACAATATCATTAAATCAAATTTCATTTCATGTTTAAGTACTTAAAATTTTGAATCTTATTAAATAAACAATTTAAAATCTTAAAAATAAAAACATAATTTAATTTAGTAATATGATTTACAATTTGAGTTTAAAGGTAATTACTTTTATTTTGTTATTTTATTTTTAAAATTAACTAATTTATATATTTTATTTTATAAAAATATTTTTCTAACATGTTCTTTTGTATTTATTATGCCTTTTAATAATTAACTTTTATAAAAAAATAAAAAATAACTTTAATTTATTAAATATATAATTAAAATCATCCACATGATATTAATTTAGAAAATACTTAATTGTTGAAAATTACATAAATGCATCCTTCTCTTAACTTTAACGATTTGTTTTGATTTGTTTTGATAAATGAAATTTTGTTCAAGTATGATAATAGTGGTGTTGGTTGCCTAGTGGTAGAAAACCTAAAATGTGTGTTGAGAGAGTGGGGCTTGGATGCCCTTACACACAAACTTGTTGAAGGTGTCCAAAACTTTGTAAACCAAATAGTTCACTGGTTCAACCGTTAATGAATTTGATTGGTTTTGTTCAATTTTGACCAAGTTTGACTTATTTTGATCGACTCTCACTATGAAATTTTGTTCAAGTATGACAATAGTGATGTTGGTTGCCCAATGGTAGAAAACCTAAAATGTGTGTTGAGGGAATGGGGTTCAAATGCCCTTACACACAAACTTGTTGAAACGTGTCCAAAACTTTGTGAACCAAATAGTTCACTGGTTCAACAGTTAATGGATTTGATTGGTTTTTTTCAGCTTTGATTAAGTTTGACTTATTTTGACCAAATCTCACTATGAAATTTTGTTCAAGTATGATAATAGTGGTGTTGGTTGCCTAATGGTAGAAAAACCTAAAATGTGTGTTGAGGGAGTGGGGTTTGAATGCCCTTACACACAAACTTGTTGAAAGGTATATATATATATATTTACAAATAGATATATTTATATTTTTTTAATTTTATATGGATCCCCACGATTCCCCACAAGTGGAGGAAATTCCTCACGAAATTTCACGGGAAAAAAAATGCCTTCATCCTTGCCTTACAAGAAGGAATATTTTTGGAATCTCCGTGAAGCTCCGTGAGTTGTGAAGGAAATTGCTATCCCTACGTGCCGATACCTTAACTTATGTGTGAAATAGAGTCTGTGTTGGAATTTTGGCCTTTTAAGTAATTAGTTAAATATATTAATTTTGGTTTCTTACTTTTAAAATTTTGTATAGTTTTTATTCTTTAATTATTTATATATTTTTTATCTCTTAATTATAAAAAAAATATTTTTTTAATTCTTCTGTCAATTAACTCATTAAGTCTATCTAAATATATATATTTTCAATCTCTCAACTTATAATATATATATATTTTTTTTTTCATCTCTGAACTTAAGAGTTTATAAATTAAAAATATGCAAATATAAACAGATTTAATAGATTAAGGATATGTTTGCTATAGTAGTTTGATGTGGTAGTTAACGATTTTATCTGAATTGCTAGACAATAAGTGTTTAATAAATTTAGTTATTTCAAAACTATTATAAATTATATGTTTAGTAAAATTTTTTATTTAGTGGTTTAGTTATATGTATTGTGTCTTTCATGTCTTTATAATTAAGAGACTAGCGTTACACGGCTATATATGCTTAAATTGACTTTGACTTTTGATCTCGAATACATTTTGAATATGCTGAGGTGTCGATGATTTTGTTCCATGTGTTCTTTTCTTCATTTCTTTAAAATTCAAAAGGAAACTTGAAGCATCAGATTTTATGAACTACTTGGTAAGTAGACTTAATATTTTGAGAATTATTAAGGTTTAAATTATTGCATTACTATATTACAATTCTCTATTTTTTATTCTAAATTATATTTGTTCAAAAAAAGTAACTCGAAAATTTTATATAATTTTTTGAAATATTGAGCCACATAACTTTTTATATTGCAAATTAGATTATTTTAACCTATGTGCCTGACCAACTGTAAATCTAGGTGTTTAAGGGAAAAAAAAAAAGAATTTTCAGTGCAAGATAAGTAGATTTACAAGAAATTTATCGATTATGTCGAAAATTTTACACTTTGATCATTTATAAGTGCCTACCTGTGTGAGATTTTACTTCTGTTTGCGTAATTCACATCATATACACGTGGGAGAAGTTAAGAAATTAGAAAGGAATACTTTTCAACGTGCAAAATCTAAAATCAAAAAAAAAAAAAAAAAAAATTGTCTAGTCGGTGTTACGAGAATTCGATAATTGGGATTTGGCAGTTCGAAAATCACTAAGCCCATGTGACTCCGCGAGGCCCACTATAACAGTGGCCTCTGCTTCTAAAAGGCCCAAAAGTATTTCGTCATGGGTACGAATCTCAGCCTGCGTAAAAGGAGTAACAAAATCGGCTTGTTTCAGTTTAAGCAAGGTTTTGAGTTTGAAACCTTGTGTATGTAGCAGTTTTTATTGGGAGACTCACCACCATTCTGTACGGCACAACTGATACAGTTTTGAGTATTCGTGGCGAAACCTGGATACCGGATGAAAACCCAAAAAAAAAAATTAAATCAGCTCAGCTGCCTCTAAAACCTGAAAAACACAAGAAACATTTTGACGTTTCTTGAATTTGGATGCAGTGAGAGCATTGAACTCAATTTTCGAACAATGGGACATACAGACGCCGCCGAATTCCTGGAATATCAGCGGCGAACCATGCACCGGAACTTCTCTGAGCCAAGACGATACCAACAATCTGACCATCACATGCGATTGCTCCTTCAACAGTGCTACTACCTGCCGCATCACCAGACTGTACTCTCTCCGTCTCTTGCTGCTCAGGCGAACGCGTTCACTTCCGTTTCGAACTTTTGATCGGTTGCGGAATTGAACTATTAACTGTTTGTTCATTTTGCCAAGGGAGAGTGAATGAACTGAACATACAAGGGGTGATGGCGGAGGAGCTTTTGGCTTTCAAATTCTTAACCTATCTGTATGGTTTCTCTTTTTCTTTTGCTCGTAGAAAATGACATTTTATCATTTTCCTGGAGAGTTTTTAAAGTACTGAATTGTTCATTGTTTGATGATGAAGGAACCTCCAGCAAAATTACTTCATCGGTACCTTGCCGGCATGGATTGGGAATTTATCTACATTGCAGTACTTGTAAGCATGGATTCTGGTGGTCTTATTAAAGAATTTAACTTTACTTTAATAGATAGCATTTATCAAAAACTTTTGAAATTTCCATGCCTAGTTTTTCCCATTTTTGGTTCCAGAGGTTAAATGTCTTTACTGTCTAGAACACATGTATCAACCTGCTAATGACATCTTACTGTCTTTATAAAAAAAGAGGCATTGACCCTTGATTATGAGGCTAAATCATTGAAGTGCTAAAGATCTTCAACTCCATGAAGTACTGAAGTGAAGCACTTTGTGTTTACTTCAGTGTCTCATCTTATATACCAGCATTAGAAACCATCATTTACACCGATTACTATCAATACATATCACTTATTTTCTGATTATGGTCATCATGCTTACTTCATAGGTAAAACTCATTGAATTTGGTCTGTTATTTCTGCTAATTCTTATCTGAGAAGCCACTAGTAATTTTTTGGGTTATGTTTTTTATGTCAAGCGCTATTCATGCCAATGCATTCTCTGGGCCCATTCCTAATTAGCTTGGAAATCTTAAGGAGCTAACTTATCTGTAAGACTTGAGAAATGCTACTTTGTCATCATAATGCATCAATATTTTTTAATTATTTTTTATCTGCCATTGTAATGCATCAAATGGTTCTATTCTACCACAAACATGTAGCCTCTTAAGTTACATTATGCACAAGTTTGGTTCTTGGTTATTATGAAAGTCCCTTTCTTATAAAATGAAAAATGAATTCAATATTATGTTGAGAGGATCTGAAATTCTGGAGAGAATTTGTTTTTGAGGGGTGATGGTGGAACAGGTCGAGGAGACAGCCAGAACTCTAATATGTAAAATTAATTGTTGATATGGCAGTGCCTACTAGTTGATGTAACATCCTTTCACAATAATAACAGTACTTCTGAATTCTGATATACATTGAATTGATGAATTCCAGAAGGGATGATCAATAACTTCAGGTATTCAAAATGGGTATCAGTTTCAACTACCTTTGATAGAAATGCAAGGGATTGTAGATAATTTGAGTGATTTGGGTCTTACATTTTCAAATCTATGTCTTACATTTTCAGATTTTAATCATAATCAACTGTTCCCGGGGAACCATTGTATTGAAGGATTTTAACATATCAAACGAGGCAGGTGGGGTTGATAGAGCAATCACTAAGAATTTCACTGCTATCGTATCAGAGAACCATCTTGAAATTCACCTATTATAGGCTGGTAAGGGAACTTGTTGCATACCACAAGCAGCTTACTTCCATTTCGACAATCAGCGTGGTATCAAGTAAGAAATGAGATGACATAAGAATCTTTGTTTAAAATATTAAGTCATTTCTATCTCTTTTGCCACTGCTAATGCCTAAAACCTGTTGATCAAATTTCACACCAACTGTAAGTGGGAGTTCCCCACGTATAGGAAAAACTAATCCGAAGTTGAGTTAGATCCTGTAAGGAGGGAGTTTTCTCAACGCTTATTTCTTTATTTATAAAATTTGAACTCGAGATCTTAAATTTTAAGAGAAACCGTACTCCTTTCATTCAAACCAATAGGTTGTTAGTTAGTTAGTCATGATATTATTCGTAAAACTGATTCATGTTAATATACTATGTTGGATCTAGCCTCATTACTGTCAAGTGAAGTTCTAGGCTCCCCAAACCTAGTTCTATGTTAAGCTCTTAATAATCTTTAGGCAATTATTTTCTTCTTTATTACAAGGGTGGACAAACGTGTTTTTAAAGGAAGTGATATTCTAATAGTTAAGAGGATTGATCTCCCTTGATGGAGAAAGAAACTGATTTTTTTTTTTTTTCAACTTCTTTGACTATTTGCTGCTCTATCTTGTGGTGATGCACTCACATAGGACCAGTATTCCTAGTGCTCAAAAGAACAAATTTTATATATAGGAAGTAAACTTGACTATCATGTACATCTTGAGGCTTCTGGTATAGACTCTGCTCTTATTTTTACTTAACAATTTTATGATTAATATAGGAAAAGGACAAAAAAATAAAAGGAAGAAGAAGAAAGAAGTAGAAATTATACATTTGCCCATGGCCTTTAAACTTGAGATGCCGAATCCTAGCGCCAATGCTTGTAAAATTTAAACATTATATAATTATCTTCCATTTCATCAGTAGATTTTATTCAACTTCTCTTGAATTTGCAGGGCTTCTTGGAGTAGGATCCAAACCAAACACATTCAGTTATGCTGAGTTGAGGACTACAACAGATGACTTCAGTCCCTCAAATAAGTTAGGAGAAGGGGGATTTGGTCCGGTATACAAGTTAAGCTATTGCTTAAAATCTTAAATTTGTTTTGAATGAGATTGAAGATTCATATGACAATGATACTAAAAAAAAAAACACTTTATGTACATTATAGGGTAAACTTTCTAATGGGCGGGTAGTAGCTGTGAAGCAGCTTTCAGTAGCATCTCATCAAGGGACAAAGTCAATTTGTTACTGAGATTGCTACCATATCTGTGGTGCAACATCGCAACCTTGTTAAACTGTACGGATGCTGCATCGAAGGAAACAGACGCCTCCTTGTTTATGAGTATCTTGGGAATAAAAGCCTTGACCAAGCACTCCTTGATATGACTGAACAAGTTATTTTCTCCCTTTTAGCCTTTATGCAGGAAAATGAAATATATCTGCATCTGAATTCATTTCTTCACCAAATTAATCACTATCCATAATATTTCCTACCTC